GTCTCTGCTCTCATGGAGTTTACATTCTAATGTGAAAAAATAAACAAGTAAATCATTAATTGCATTACATATTGAAGCATACAGACATGTAAGTGTCATGTCAGATGGCAGTAAGTGCTATGGGGGAAAAAAAAGCAGAGTAGGATACAGGGAGCAATGAGAAGGTACTATTTTATATAGGGTGGTCTGGAATGGCCTCTCTGAAACTTAAGCAGTATGAAATGAGATAATTAAATACTGACTCAACAGTCAATGAAACTTTTTTTTTTAAATGAAACATTATTTCTTTCATGACATTTCCAAAGCACTCTCATCTTTCTGGTTTGAATAATGTTCCCTTTGTGATTTTTTTCTGGATGTTAATTCAGACTAGTAACTTTACATAAAGATGCTTGCTATTTATATTTATTTTGTACAACATAAAATAAAACCCATCTGGAGAATTTTCTTGATCACCAGTATACTCTATGGCAATGGACCTACATTTCTAATATGATTACAGTTACAGGTAATAATCAAATAAAATCTTGTGGAATGTCAGGACTCTATAATCTCAAACCATCAATTATCCAAAAGAATGTAACCAGCAAATCATAAATAGCTCAGATAAAGTATTAAACCCCACATGTGTAGCAAATACACTTGGCTAAGGGTTAAGAATATCAGTTCTAATTCCTGCTTTATCACCTTGGGCAAGTCAGTTACCTCTTCTGAATCTCAATTTTTAATGTTTGGCTTTGGATACAAAAGTAATCTGAGTATATACTACTTTAAAACAGAACTGATAAGTAGATAAGAAGGTTGTATTTTTCATAATTTATAATTCAGCTCCATAAAGATGGAAAAGCAGCCTTTCATCTTACTCTCTGAAAGCTCTGCTACAGTCATCTCCCATCACCTCCAAAGTTGTTTTGATTTTTTCATTTCGGGGTTTGTTTCTTTTGTTTTATTTCAGCAAGGGCCTGGCTCTGTCACCTAGGCTGAATACAGTGGTACAGCCCTGATCTCCCAGGCTCAAGTAATCTTCCCACATCAGCCTCCCCAGTAGCTGGGACTACAGGCACATGCTACCATGCCAGGTTAATTTTTAAGAATTATTTTTTGTAGAGATGGAGTCTCACCATGTTTGCCCAGGCTGGTCTCAAACTCCTGTACTCAAAGCAACCTCCTACCCTGGCCTCCCAAAGTGCTGGAATTATAGACATGAGCCACCACATCCAGGCCCCAAATTTGTATTAAAAGCTTTATAACTTCATCACTTCAGAATGCCATATTTATTTGTATAAATGGGCAAACCTGGTAGTTGGTCATTTTTAATATTTAGAGCTCCTCTAATCCCTCCCTGGAAGCCTCCAGGGTAGACAACCTCAACAAAACATCCTCTATACTCATGCCCTAAGTGCAGCTCTACAATTAGTCTCTTTCCTTGCTCCTCAGATCCTCTACCAAAGCTCTCTCTCTCATGGACACTAAACTCAAACCGGGCCAACAAGGAAAACCCTGCATAACTCCAACCCTAAAAGAACCTAGAATGACAAAACTACATAGACTTACAATGAAATAATTCAAAGTGTGAAATAAGAGGAATAAGTAAGGAGAATTTGAAAAGAATAGCTAATCAATCTTGTAACTATTCTCTGAAGTGTGAAGACTCTTCTGGGTTATCTCTAGAATCCTCAAACATGATTGATATGCCTCATCTGTCTCCTCAGCTTGACATGAACTATACCAAATAGCATAGCAACTGTAAATCTCCCTCTTAAAAGTATCTGTAAACTGCTCCCCCTAGAATGGTCCTCAAAGTCCAGTATATTTTTACTATCTTGTCAATTTTCTGCCATGATATTATGACAGGGTTATTTCATTTTAAAGATTACTATCCCTTCAACTGCCAGATATCAACTATCACAGGGACAAATAATGAAATAATATTTCTGTAATCTACATAGAGTCAATTCTTTTTTTTTTTGAGACGGAGTCTTGTTCTTTTGCCAGGCTGGAGTGCAGTTGCACAATCTAGGCTCACTGCAACCTCCATCTCCCGGATTCAAGCGATTACCCTGCCTCAGCCTTCTGAGTAGCTGGGACTACAGGCACGTGCCACCATGCCTGGCTAATTTTTTTGTATTTTAGTAGAGATGAAGTTTCACCATGGCCAGGATGGTCTCGATCTCCTGACCTCACGATCCACCCGCCTTGGCCTCCCAAAGTGCTGGGATTACAGGCGTGAGCCACCGCCCCAGCCGAGTCAATACTTTTTAAAAGGTTGTGACCAGAGTAATCTATGACAGTGATTTTATGTTGCCTTTCTTTAATCTTAATATAAATACATAAATTGCTATCTTAACATAGGTATTTGCCTAATTCCTACTTCACTTCTATCCTTTATTTTCCATATCATTTGTCATTCAGTTGGCTTTAAATAGATTCATGCCAATTCTCCATGTTCTCACCAGCATGATTAAAAAAATTTTATGCAGGACTGGTATGAGAGATGATTGATAACAATCTTATTCTTTTTAAAGTGATTCCTTGCTGGGTCTGTGGGGTAGGGAAAAAATGTTAAAAGTGATTTAAAAGCCAGATTTTCTAAAATCCTACTTTTTCAGATGAATATCAAATGGAAAGAAAATCAGTATGTAGTCATTCTACCTTTAAAATGGGAAGTCCACACTGAAAATGGAGAAAAATATATTCACAAAGATCAAGTAACAAACTGCTCAAGCCATTTCCTGAAAAGAAACTGCATTTCTGGTTGTAATTGTTAAAATTATAGAAAAGAATTCCCTGTTCTTCAAAAATCACTCAAATATGGCTCCAAAATCACAGGTATTATTATTTTAAAAAATATAAAGGTATTGGCCGGGCGCGGTGGCTCAAGCCTGCAATCCCAGCACTTTGGGAGGCCGAGGCGCGTGGATCACGAGGTCAAGAGATTGAGACCATCCTGGTCAACATGGTGAAACCCCGTCTCTACTAAAAATACAAAAAATCAGCTGGGCATGGTGGCGCGTGCCTATAATCCCAGCTACTCAGGAGGCTGAGGCTGGCGAATTGCCTGAACCCAGGAGGCGGAGGTTGCGGTGAGCCGAGATCGTGCCATTGCAGTCCAGCCTGGGTAACATGAGTGAAACTCCGTCTCAAAAAAAAAATATATATAAAGGTATTAAGAGCAACATTATGATGTTGATAAATTTAAGTAAGGAGCTATTGTGCTAGAAGAAAATCTTGGTAAGAAATAAACAGTACTAACCCATATTGCCCAAAAGAAGACAAAGAGTAATACAGACAATTATAAGGGAAAATTGATTATATCATTTTAAAAAGGGCACTGGTGCCTGTGAAATTCCTAGGAATTTTCTTCCTGTGGGATATTGTGTAAGTGACTTTGTCTTGTCTAAAATATACTAAAATTACAAATACATTCTCACACTAAAGAATATTGCTTTTACTCATTAGGTTGGAAGAAATAAGGAAGGCTTGAAAAACAGATATTTCCAGAGAAGAAGAGTAAAGCAGAAAAGTGAAGGTATAATAAAAGGACTATAATCAGAGATATGGAAGGAAGACAAACTGCATTAATTAATTTTCTTTAAAAAATGAGACTAGCTGCACACTGAGATGAATTGTCTCATTTGCCAAATGT